TATAATGTTCACTAAATAATTCTGTTTATAAATAATTAATTTCTGGATTTTAATAAAAATTAATCTCCAGGTATTCCTTATCGATTGCGATAACACGTAGGTTATTTCGTTAGCTAAAATAAATTTAAACTGATTTTTTTTAATATTAAAAGAATATTTTGCATATTTAAAGACATAAAACATCATATATCTGGTATTTTAAAAGAATATTAAGAGAATATATTGCCTAATTTATGCGACATAAAAGCATCATATTTTAAGGATTTTAAGAGAATATAAATCCTACCTCTACATAATTATATGGGGTAGGAAGGTGCTTATAGAAATATTTGCTCAGACTAATATTGTTTGTCTTTCTATTCTTTCTCTCTACATATATGCATATATATTATATATATAAATATAAACATAAATATAAATATAAACATAAATAATATACTTGGCACTTATTAATTATAAATATATACATATTACATATTACACATTACACACAATATATTCTATACCCGAGTGAGTTATTGGATAACCTAACCTATAAGTACTGCGGAAAAATTACAACAATCAAACTGCAAAAGCTGTAGTAGTGTGGTTCGATAGTGTCTTCGGACTTCTCTTCACACATAATAATAACATAGGATTTACGCGCAGGTAAATATGAGGTTATACGAAGTACGCGGGGGAGCATCAAGAAGTTTGCGCATTATGGTAGAAATAAGTCTTCTATAAGGTCAAGTTCAAGGCGCCTGCGTATTTTTTCACCTATACCACGTAGACTAAGACGTCATATGATCAATAGTCGTAAAATATAGACATTAAGAAAATAGRCACAAAGACACGTACCTTAGTGACAAGGAATCCATTTATTTTGGTGTCTGTTAATTAATCGGGAAAATGGTCCTCGAATGTCGTACTACAGAACCGTAGAAAACTAAAAAACGTCGTTAATGTTATTTATATATTACACCAAAGACGGACAATCCACGATTTTTTGCGCACAATATTGTCAACGAATATAAAACGCACAAAGCGCAAAACTTCCAAATAAACGGCGGTGACGACGACAACGAAAGTATTATTGTAATCGTTTTGTTCTTTATGATATTCTTTATTATTGTTGTTAAAATCATACAAAATACGTTTGAATATGATCGGTACGCGCGCGGCGTGTGTACCCGCTGTACTATACGCTTTAGGACGCCGAGGAACGCATTTCCGAACCGGCCGACCGGCAAACACTTTCTCCGGGTCCCGGGCATGGTCCACCGCGGAGAGCATGAATCCTTTCTCCTTTCGTTACCACCGTACCACTATTGTACAGGTCTTCGTCRCCGTCGTTAGGTGGAGGGGAGGGATCTATAGTGTATACATAAAAGTAATGTATACCGTATGTGCGTGCGTGCGTGTGTGTGTGTGTGTGTTTGACGTTTGTGTATGATTTGATTCGCCGAGTCAGTCACCCAATGGTATATACTGGAGAATACTCTCACTCACCGCAAGCATACGAAGGTTTATCCCCACKCCACCAACAAAGTCGTAAACTTATAAGAATACAACAATAATGCATCTATAAACATAAACCTATATATAGTTAATTTCCACCTATTGCACTTCCGCCTTTTTACTTTTATATATATTATATAGTATCTA